TCGATAAAGCTCGCCATCAACTGATCAACCACTTCATCAAATTCATGATATTTTAATCAAACTTCATCATGTATATATTGAATATTGATGACACAAAGGAACTATTCGTGCAACTTTTCAAAGGTCCAGGGGACAATGGTACTTTTTTTAAAGTTCGTAATAAATCGTACAATCCTCTATAAATTCAGAGTAAATGACACAAAAAAAAACACTTTCCCAATCCAAACTCACCCTTGCTCATCCTACTATATATAAAAAGAAAAGAAAATATATTATGTTGTTTCCCGCCCTAAATGGATTGCTACTGTCCAAACACCTCCTGCCCAATTTTGAGTGAATGTGCATGATATGACTTAATCTTTCAATATTTAAATTGACAAGTACAATTTTGGTCTTTTATAGGTTGGTTGATGCTGCATGATTTTATTACCAAGCACGGAGTATAATTTAGGCAATTTTGGGATAGATGGTTTGATTGCTCAATTTTGGTATGTTAAGAATTAGTATAGATAAAAGTGACATTTTAATGTAAACGAGAAATGTTTTTTTGGAGGAATGTTAAAAAAAAGAAAAAGGTTTTCAAGAACGAAAATAGTAAACTTACTATTTTTGTTCCAAAAAGTATGTGACTATTACTCTCTCCGTTCCAAAAAGATTTACACCTTTCAAAAAAATTGCGTCCCACAATCTTCTACCCATTTCTATTAAAAAACCACTTTTACCCCTTATTTTTTAAAACCTACCTATCACATCATATCTTTTTCCTAATAATCTACACATCACATCCTACTTTGATCCATCACATCAAGGGTATTTTTGGAAAGTCAACACAAAATTATTCCTCTCTTAATTTCAACTTTAGTCAAAAGTTGTAAATCTTTTTAGAACGGAGGTAGTATAATAGTATCAAACCCTAATTGTCAATTGCAGCAAAATTTAAACTCTCATTATTCCTTAGTGCTATGTGGTTATTAAAGGAGTTCCCTTTTGGTGATTTCAAATAAATAGCAGCAAATAAAAACCAAAGCAAGGCAGATTTTATATGAGAAGGTCCACAAAAATGATATACACTCAAGGTACACCATCAATAGAAGCACTCTATATTTTGGGGCAAAAGGAGGATAAAATTTTTATTTTTAATTAATTGAAGGTATCACTAAATTCACCCAAACGAATGAAAGATGACCATATTTCCACACTTTTAACAAATTTAATTGAAAAGATTAAATATAATCATTTTTGGAGTGACTTTAGCAACTCTTAATTGGATTATAGTCTATAATCATACTCCGTGATTAAATATATGTTTCTAGAATTTGTAGTTAAAATTTGTAAACTATAAAAAAGAAATCAAATTGTAAAGAAATTCAATGAGCCAAGCAAGTAATTCTTTTTTTAAATGACTTCAATTTAGTACGAGTATATGAAAAAAGTAACTTTTACATCCCGGAACAGGTGGCGCTAGATTTAAAAGTAAAATTATATACAAAGTTCAATAGTTCTGTCATATAAAATAAACAAAAATTTGTTAAAGGTTCGAATATGATAGATTGATAGGCATGGCCACAGGGGTATAATTTAGACCATCGAAGATGTTCCTTAAGTTTTTATTAAACTTAATAAAATATTTATTTGGTGTGTATAACTTACTGTTTAATTAAAACGGTAAATTTAAAATGATACCAGTTACTTATACATCAATTGTTTACACCAGTCTGTTTAGGGGGTTTAGGGGGTGTGTTACGGGGGGTAGGAACCGTCGGTTTTACAAACAGAGCATCGTAGGTACCCCAAACAGACTGGTGTAAGTAATTGGTGAATAAGTAACTAGTTTCATTTTTGACGCTCTCTAATTAAAATTACATTAAAATTTATATGGCAATTAGTGTAACATATCGCTAATGAATTATGTTATGTTGTTATTTGGAAAAAATGCTCCCATGAAATGACTTAAATCTACTAAATTTAATTTGTAGATTACCAATAATGGATCATTTGATTCTAAGTTTGGAGTAATAAAATAATTGTGAAGTACAACGTAGTTAATTAAATTTATACTAATTATTTTATATATTTTTCTTACAATTGATCATTTAAAATTTGATATAACTTCTTTCCGTGCATCGCACGGGCCGAATCTAGTTAAATAAAAAGGAGTAGACAAAAAATAAATTGAGTTGGGCCTTTACATAATTAAAAGATCCAAAGTGTTTAGGTTGGGCTTTGAGTACAAACTTATTACTCTACGAGCTTTGAAAAGACTCTAGAAACATCCGGTAACTCGAACATTCTACACTCTTCCTTCTTCTTCTTCGCTCTCAATCTTTCTAGAACCCTTATCCCCTTCTCCAAGCCACTCCCCCATGTCCACTATATAAACACTTCTCCATCCGCTTCACCAACCATCTCAGATCGAATTCGAATCATCCATCAAGCAAACCAAATCAGTTTCGATTCACTCTTCTCTCTGAATTTGCAGAGCTCAATGGCTTCTTCAATGGCTATCAGGAGAGCTGCCGCCACCTCTTCTTCTCTGTTCAACAGGCTCGTCGGCCCTTCTCGCCAGGCCGCCGCCGCCCCTTCCGTTTTCCGATCGTTTAACACCAATGCTCAGATGAAGGCCTACGACGACGACGACCGCGCTGTTGACGTTCGCCGCCGCTCTGATCGCTCTCCCTCTCGCCGCCGCGAGGCCTCTTCCCCTGGCTACGTTTCAGGTTAGTTTTTTTTTTTTAAAAATTAGGTTTAGATTTCATCAAATTCGGTTTCAGATTTGTTTGATTTCTCCGAATTGAGATCTGGATTGAGAGATCTGACTGAGTGTGTGTTCCCGCAGATTCGTTCGATCCGTTGTCGCCGCCGAGGAGCGTGAGCCAGCTGCTGAACATGATGGACCAATTGATGGACAATCCTCTGGCGGCGTCGTTCGGCGGATTCCCTGCCGCCGCCGCGGCGGCGCCGAGGAGGGGGTGGGACGTGAAGGAGGACGACAACGCGCTGTACATCAACATGGACATGCCGGGGCTGGGGAAGGGCGACGTGAAGGTGTGGGTGGAGGAGAACACGCTGATGATCAAGGGCGAGGAGGCCGGGGAGGAGGTGAAGGAGGACGGGGAGGAGTACGCGCGGAGGAGGTACTCGACGAGGCTGGACATTCCGGCGAACCTCTACAAGCTGGACGCCATTAAGGCGGAGATGAAGAACGGAGTGCTGAAGGTGGCCGTGCCCAAGGTGAAGCAGGAGGAGAGGAAGGATGTCTTCCAGGTCAACGTTGACTGAATGAATATGGTTTTGAATGTTTTTTTTTTTGGTTTTTTGGAATTAGGGGTGAGAATGTGAGATGAATGCCTAGAGGTTTTTGGATCTGCAAATAAAAGTGGATTTCTGAAATGAAGGTTCGAAATGTTCTTTTCCTCTTCTACTAGTTGGTGTTCTTGTTTGTGGAAAAGAAAATGAGAAATTGAAAGAGATACTCTCTCCGTCCCGGAGTGTTTGTCTATTTTCATTTTTGCACACCATCCAATGCATTTTTTTAATCCATTTTATCTTGTAATTTGTATATTAAAAAATTACAAAAATTATATATTAATAATCTATATGTTAAGACATGACTATATTTAGGCTTACACATTGAGAGAATTTGATGAGTCAAAGTGCTTAAATGAACAGTTCCAAAAGTCAAAAGTGGATAAACACTTAGGGACGGACCAAGTAACTAATTGTTTTGACGGGTAGAAAAAGAGTAAAAATGGAAAAAAGATGTGGAGAAAATGTGATTAAATGAAAGAAAAATAAGTACTCATGTTATGTTTACACCAAAAATTGTATTCTAAATTTACACTAAATTTTGTTTACTCCGTACATTAATATTTTACATTATTGATGAAATTACCTTATCAATACATTGAAAGATGTTTACTTAGGTGACAAGGGAAAGTTTACATTATAATGTTATTAAACACTTTCCAACCGAGGGAAACAAAGTTAAAAAGGTAAAGTTTTGTTTGAACCAGGCACACCTCCACAATAGTCCAAAGTTTAATGATTTTCAAGTTAACTACATTTCTGAAATTTGAGTTTTTAGGTCTAAAAATTTCTTAAAAGTTTTGCTTGAACTTAGATGAGTTAGACCGTACCACCATAAGACATGTAACTAAAGTAATGTTCTTGCTCGCATGGGTAGCTCAACTGGTCTAAGGAGAGGATGTCAAGTTCGTTAATTCTAGAGTCATATTCCGATAGCGCAGTGTAGGAGTTTCATTATTTGTAATAGCTCATTGTTCGCACTTACCACAGGGAGACATCTCTAAAGACCATATTGAGATTGTACAATGATTCATTCCTCACAATCCTTTCGAGGCGGGTGTGGAGGCACCCAGGGTGGGCGTTATACTAAAGTACTACCTCTGTTCCTGAGTATTTTTTCAGTTTTAACTTTTTTTGGTCAACTATTTTCAACTTTTGACCTATAATTAAATAAAATATATATTGTATTTTAATAAAATAAAATAATATTTTGAAAATATTTGATATAATAAATTTAAGAAAACTCTTTTTGTATGAATATCTAATATCATTTTTATTTAATACGAGGTCAAAATTTACCAATTTTGACCAAAAATGTCAAAAATTGACAAATACTCAAAAACGGAGGGAGTAATGTTCTTGGGTGTCATTGGTAGATCACTCATATCTGAAAATGGGGGTTGACTTACGTTATCCTAAAAGTCATTCATTTTATGGATTTAGTACATTGATATCATAAAAGATTAGGCCTTTTGCAAAAATTTTTTAAAGATTTACTTGTTAGCCCATGAAATGTGCAAGAAGACTCACATTTTACATGTGAAACTTAAAATCACGAAAGAACAACTCAAATGGACATGTGTCATGAATTGAAAAGTTGGGTACTTTCCATCCTTCAGAAACAGTGTTACCAAAAAATGTCATGAAAGACATGTTAATCAATAATGTCATTCTAGTAATTCAAGAGAAATGCTTAGTACACTTATAAATACACTTATAGATATATGAATTGAGCCGGTGATACACAAAGGAATCATACTACTATCTATAATCACATAAATACATATTCTGGTAGAGTAATTAAATTGATAAGGTGTTTGGGAGTGTAAGAAAACAACCTTAAAGGCTTCCTTCACTAAAATACAGAAGTTTTAGTCCCGTAACATACACCGGCTTCTGGGTTAAGAAAAACAGCACGAAGTTCTTGTATTTGAACCAATGAAAGTACGAACCTCATAGTCCTTAGTCATGTGAACCTTAACCGAAGAGGCACAGCATCATCCTCCATCACACTGAGTGGCTTAGATCGTATACACCAGTGCAGAGTTCGGCACAGAACGTAATGTATCACGATGCCATGCTTCCTTAAGCATGAAATTGCAATTTCTGAACCATTGATATATAGGATCAATATGATGATAAAGAAGAAAATATAAAGAAAAATTGGAAGAAAAGAAAATGTGAACTAAGATAAAACATAAGTTCAAGCTCAATGAATTTATTTCTGATATCTGTAAAACTAATTTTACTATATCTATTTCTAGTACATAAGATTAAGAAGTCTAAACAGATACTTCTCCCGTCCCACAAAGTCCTTATTTTGATTTTTGGGAGACCTAAGGAAGAGATATTTTGTGTTGACTTTTCCAAATTACTCTTAACGTGATGTGTAAGAGCGGGATATGATGGGTAGATAATTTCCATCATCTACAATGGAGCTAAAAATTCACTATTTTTTGGCTTTGGTGTGTGATCGAATAAAGCAAAATGGATTTCTAAAGTGTCTGCGCTTTTTAAATTAATGAAGTTCCAGTTAGTCAATCAATGCAACTTTTGACATTTAGCCGAGGGTCTCTTTTGAAAGAGCCTCTTAATTTCAAATAGGGGTAAGGTCTGCATACACACACCCTCTCCTAACCCTACTCTTATGGGATTCAACTGGGTTGTTTTGTTGTAGGTATGATGAGATAGGTATGGTAAGAATTAGTAGGTAAAAGGATTTCCTAATAGAGACGAGAAGTAGATTGTGAGACACGAAAAAAAGAAGAGAGAAAGAGTTTTTGGAACAAAGGGAGTATAAAATTTGTATAAATATTAATCATAGTTCATGATTCTTTGTATTTTGTGTGATAAACCAATACAAGAAAATGACTTTCCTCAAGTATTTTTCTGCATTCCCTATCAGTATCTAGGATCCAAACATAACCCATAAAAGAGAGAGGTTATTGGCATTTATCATCCTACGGCTCCAACTGCAAGATTTTTTTTGAATACAGAAATCAAAATCATAAAGGGATAAACTAGTGCAACAAATGGCTGGTGAAACTTGATTCCAACAAGAGGCGTATCAAAACCATCATATGCTTCTCAACTACTACTTCGGTCCAAAAACTTTCTACCCTATGCGGATTACGATGTTTGACTGATGTTATTTTTAAATCATTTTATATGAAAAATGGTATAAAATAAAAAAAATAAAATTACATATTTAAAAACTACAAAGATCTACGAAAAGCTACGAAACTAGAGGTGACAAGTTCCATATGCATTAAACCTTATTGCTTGAGAAAAACAAATTCCTCATGCATTAATTTTCAACCTATAGTGAGAGAGAATGGTTTAGAAATATTGCCTGATGTCAATATTGATTTTACCATACCAATCTTTCAATCTTCTAACGGTTCACGACTACTGTGCCTATTTTAACTCAACTATCTCACGAATCAATACATTTTCCACGCAGGGGGAGATACATATGTCTTCGTTTGATACACAAAATTCAAACTATGGAATTGGAATTGAGGACAACAATTCCACTTTGCTATTTGGTGACACAAAAATATGCAGAGTTGGAATTGGTAGTGCCAAAAAAGAATTGGAATTGGAGGATTCAATTCCATCCCAACCAATTCCATAGAATTTTAACTTCCAATTCAATTCCGTCAATCATTTCTAAAAAGGTTGTGACGGGGGTTGTTCACCGGTCTAGAACCGGCCAGACCGAAGACCGAATTGAAAAACAATAGACCGAAGACCGAACCTATTAGTAATCGGTAACAGTGATCGGTTTTAGACCAAGCCGGACCAAAATGACTTGGACTGAACTGGTTTAGACTGAATGGACCGAAAACGAAAAAATCCAATGTGAGTTTAAACCTAAAAAGTAATGTAACTATGTCTGTGTGTTGTGCAGGGAGAAGAACTACACGGAGGAGAAAAAATAGGGGGGGGGGAAGGAGGAGGGAGGAGAAGAACACAGTACTAGAAGTTTGGAAGGGTTTTTTTAAACTTCATAAAAACGAGCTTTCAAATGAGCTCCACAAGCCAATTTTGAATCTGGTAAGATCCTACAAACACACATACACACTAAAATTCAAACCTAAAACATCAATATCACTTGAAATTCAAAGCCAAAACATCAATACTAGCTGAAATTTGACACCAAACACAAAAAACACTCAAATTCTAACAAATAAGAGCGAGTATCCAACAAAAACGAAGAAGATTTTGAATATCAATTCAGATTTGGAGATTATACCAACAAACTACCCTTATACCCTAGAGCCTTCTGATTTAAGCCTGGAATCACAGCTAATTTGACGCATGTACTTGCCTATTCAAGCACTGCTGGAAACCAGATCTGGTGGCTCGGGTTCGAGCCCTAGCCCCGGCGTTGTCTCCATTATCCTCAAACTCTCCTCTCTCTCGCTTCCTATTCTCTATTCGCATCAAAGAGGAGCTAAATATCGGGTTTAGACCAGACCGGACCGAAACCCAAAAACATAAATAACCTAGACCAAAGACTGACCCTAAATCTACTCAGCCAAGGTTCAGTCTGGACCTAACAGTCCGGTTCAGTCGGTTTTTTTTTACTTTTTTTGGTCCGGACCTATACCCGAACAGCCCTAGTCATGACTAGAAAACATCCCACACGCGGCTTTGACATTTTGTTGCATGAATTTAGTGTTAACACTAGTTTTAGACAATGAGTTGAGACTATCCTACAAACTACGGTATATGTTTCACGGCACTAACCCCAACATAGGGTGTGTGCGCACGTAGACCTTAACTCTACTCGAAAGAGGAGAGACTGTTTTCATGAGACCCCCGACTCAAACACAAGAACATAGACAAAGTACACACAGTTTGGATTAATGACCATGATGATTAAACCAAACAAGAAATATGACTCAAATTCAAGAAAAAAGAAAAACAGCACCATATATCACTTTTCAACAATTTATACACTCTTTAGCAAAAACACAAAACTGTATATTCACACACAAGAAGAGTTCATCAACTATCAGAACTAACTGAAATTCAACCATTCATCGTAACGAAACAAACACATTTTGAAGAAGAGTCTTGAATTAAGATTACACACCTCATCTTCGTAAGGAGAACCCTCCATCTCTGCGGCTCTTCTCCATCAGCAGAGCACTTTGTCTCTGTTTCTCTAGTTTCTCCCTTTCGAGCCGCTCTTTACGCAGCTCCTCCACAGTCTTCTTACCATTGCTCTTCTTCTTAGCTGGCATCAATTCGTCTTCATCCTCTTCATCGCTCTTTTCATCAGAATTATTTGTACGCCTTTCCATGTACCAAGGCAATTTCGTTCCTTTCCCAACAATTCCATATCCCAGTTTATACTTCTCATCCTCCGCAGTCACGACCCTCGGCGGCTGCTCCTTCTTCACCTTCTTAACAGGCCGCTGGTCTTTAGATCCAGATTTCGCCTCAACCGGATCGAAAATCCGGATCCCTTGGAACAAATTGATGTGGTTCGAATCCTTCTCCGATCTCGTTTCGGGTTCCGATTCGGATGAAGGGGGTTTGGGGGCGTGGCTCGAGGAAGATGATGCCAATCCACGCGCTTGCCTGAGCTTCTCGAGCCGCAATTCGGTATCGCGCTTCCGGGCATCGTCGCGCTTGAGCTGCTCCTCCCGAGCGGCGGCCTCCTCGTCGCGCCGGACTTTCTCGCGGTTGTCGAAGTTGTAGACGTTCCATCGCTTCTGCGGGAGGATGTTCAGACCGCCATGGCCTCCCATGCTTCTATTGATCGGATATCCGTCAGAAGTTTTATCGGAATCCCAGAAACAAGAAGTCCGCCGGGTTTAGGGATTTCATGTGGCCTCTTTGAAATGAATTTATTAATTAAACATAAATTCAATCAAATATTGCAAATTCAATCTTATTTTGGGACAAATTGTAGGACCATGCTACACTTACACCAAAAAATATACCTCATTTGTACACCACAGGTTTGCACAAACATTTCGATAGTTTACACCGACACAAGTGTTGGTGCGTTAATAAAAATTCACACGGACATAAATGTTGGTGCGTTTAACAAAAATTAGTTTTACACCAACAAAAAGTGTTGGTGCAAAACTGCGGGGTACAAATTGGGGTACAAACCTTGGGGTACACATACCATAATTCATTTTTTTACTTCGGCTATTTGGTGTGCATAATTGAACATTTTTTTGCAACTCCAATGACAATAAATAGAATTAGAGAGGCATATATCTCTTTTCCCTTTTTAAAAAATGAAATCTACCTTTCTAAAAAGTGTGTAATTTCAATAGGAGGGTAAATAAAAAAAGATTAAGTTGAAAATAAAATTTATTTGTATTTAAATGATGGAAATATTCTTAAAAATATTAACTTATTATTTAATTTTATTAAAAAATCAACAAATAAAACAAAATTTCAATCTAAATTTTCTTCGAAGCTTTCTCACTACTTTCCACTAACTTTATCCCTACTTTTAGCTCTTGATGTTGATGAAAGTATATTTACTCCTCCAAAATTGATGATTGTATTTTATCCTATCAATCCCTATCATATATCTCTTCTATTGGAGATTAATTTTTTATAAAAAAAAGTACTCCGTAATAGTTAGAACTTTTTATCACCTCTTATATCCTTCCCATTGGAATTACTCTTACATAGCACTTCAATGCAACATCACCTTTGCTTTTTTCATGTCCATGTATACTATTTGACATATATTTTGTTATTATATATTCCCTCCGTTCCTCATAAATCTTCTCATTAGTTCTTTTTAGTTGTCTACCATAAATCTTCTCATTACCTTTTTTAACAATTAAAATATCATAACTACCCCCACTTACTTTATTTATTACACCTCACCTACCTCATTTAATACACTCCACTCATTTTCATTAAGAGTATAATGGTAAACTTTTACTTTTTTCAACTTTTTTTAAAAACCCTAAAAAATCAAAATAAGAAGATCTTAGGGAGACGGAGGGAGTACTACGTATGTACATATAATAAGATATATTCTTAAAATAGAAAACATTTAGAATATTACTAGGTATGAATTTAACTACAAAAAATTAAATTGCAAAAATATAGGTGGAGAAAGAGAATAATCTCTAATTTGTTTTTTCTTAAGTGGCTAAGACAAACACCTAATATAAGAGGAAAGGCATGATCCATCGAGCATTGGTGTTGCATTGTGATCTGTGAACATAGGAGTATGAAAACTATAGCATTTATAGCATCAAGAGGAAAGGTATTGCCCTTTTTTCGTATTAAAGAGGGGATGGGGACACACAAGAAACTTTTCTTATTGAGTTATGGGTTAATTATAGGGGCCAGTTAAGAGGCCACTGGATTCCGGTGGCTACGGAAGTCACTGCCTTCCTACGGACATCACAGTGCTCCATTCGTAAAATTGATAATTCCTACCCACTTAATCCCCGGTTAAGTCTCATATCTAGTCTCAACCTTAACTCATTCCCTTACTAACATCAATTGCACCCCGTAAGTTTAATTGACTTTGAAGCCAAAAGTTTAGACTTTAAAATCAATTATACATACGGGGTGCAATTGACGTAGGTGGAAATAAGTTGAGATCGAGACTCGGCAGGAGGATTTATGATCGAAAGACCATAGAGCAGCAGTGGCTTCCATAGCCACTAGAATCTAGTGGCCATGGAACATAGCCTGGGTATAGTTTTGATCCTTGTAAAATAGTCTCTATATAATATTATTGCCCTAAGTCGACCTCAACATTATTATTTATTTTGTGTGAAAAGGTCTGAAACGTTAGGTCCAATATAGAACCTTTAATTTAAAAAAAAGGAAAAGATGAACAGGTAATCCTTTATATATATAAAGCAGAGTCGGAACTATAAGAACGTGACATTTGGCAGAGCTAAAGCGCGACATGTGGCGAGCTGATGTGGCGACATTTGGCAAAGTTAAGTGCGACATGTGGCGAGCTGATATGTCACCCTTTTAGACAAATCGATCGGTTTGACCGGTTAGACCAGTTCTTTTTTTGTAATTTTTTTCCAAAAGTATACCACCATGGGGTTTGAAACAAGGATCTCTTGGTCATTTAGTTGAGTTCCTAACCATCCAAGCTATGGTGCTTTTTGTTACAATCTCACTTAAGCTTTTATAATGTTTCATAATTAAAAAAGGATTGTATAAAAATTTCTTTTTAGTTATAAAAAATATAATCCTTTAATATAATATTTGAGACTCCGTTTGCTAGAAAGTCGCCAAAAGACAAGCTTATGTGGGCTATATTAAGATGAAATGGCAAGTCTTTATTGGTTGCTTATGTGGCAAATTTTATTAATGATGAATTGACCTTTCTTTTTATTTTAAAATAGAAATATAATAATGATTTCAAATTTTGGAAAAATTTTACATTAAAAGATTTAGTACAAATAAAGAATTCATTACTTCGTGATATTTTTTGAGTATTTATATTTTTTATTTTTAAAAAGCAATTCATCTATTTATTTATTATGATGTGATAAAATTAATTATGTTATAAAATCAAATTTGTGAAAGATAAATGTAGTATTGTCCGAAATAAAAATTTTTAAAGGAAAACAATTATATAAAATATAATTTTATGATAAAAATTATTATGATGTAACAAACAATTAGTGAAAATATAAAATTGGTATTATCACTTACCATTTCAAGACTAGCATTTTTTATGAATCAAATTTTTAACTAAGTGCATACACAAAAAACAAAATTTTGATAATGATATATTCTCATTTAAGAGTATTCTTATTGATGGGATTAACCCGATCAGATGGCGAACCAAGAACGTAATATGAATCAGGAAGATATAACCACTCGATAATATTCTTTATTGAGTATTGAATTGTCTCCTGCTTTACAATGACGGGTTCTCTCCCTTTTTATAGTATCTCTAATAATATAATTAAAATCCTTTATATATAATATTTGAGAGTTGGACTCTAAGAATTGCGACATTTGGCGTGATGACTGGAATGTTTTTTGACACCTAATCAGCCATGTCATCAAGAGAATTGAATCGAACTTTCCTTCGAGTAATTTATGATATAATAAAAGAAATTATGTAACTTAATAAAATTAGTGAAACATAAATTAATATTGCATAAAATAAAAATTATTAATGGAAAAAAGAAAAGTTTCTTTTTTAACTAACAAAATTTTCAGTAAAATTTTTACCATAATATTTTGCTCGG